CACACTTACCCGCAAGCCCCTCCGCCGCCTCCTCATCCATGCTGCCGCCGTACGACATGTCACGGAGGTCGCCCTCCCCTCCCGCCGCCTTCTCACACGCCTCCTTCGCCACGTCTGGCGGGTACGACACCAGCCCCGCCGCGGCCTCGGCCTCTACCATATTAGTCGCGTGCACAGCGGCCTGGAACATGGAAGGGATGTGTACGACGGTGAGTACGGCGAAACACAGGAGAGGGACGAGACACGGGGGGTCCATTATATGCAGGAGACGATTGCGATGGGGGTAAAGGGCGGGGTTTTGTACATAACACCTGGCTGTGGGGTGTGCGCATATTGTGTTTTTTCGACAGCGGCACGCGGCTCTTTCCCCGGAGTTCATATCCCTCTGACTTGTGGAGTAAACACAACATACGGCTGGTGCACAACCGGGAGCAGCTCCCCATGGTACCGTCTCTGTTCGGGTTTTACACACCCCCTCTGAAACCACCCACGGCTTTTGCCAGGTTGACCATCAACACAACATCCAACACACACAGCTACAGCAGCCACTGCGACAAATCTCCTATCCAGTACGTAATCCAGCGATAATCCAATCACCTTGTAGCCCTCGGGATTGGTCTCCCGGGAAGGGGCCCTGCAGGGCGTGTGACCGCCGCCGCCGCCGCCGCCTTCCTCCACGCCGCCGCCCAGCTTGCCAATGCTGGCGTCGCCGCCGGCACCGCCGTCACCACTGCTGGGCAAGTCCCGTATCACGTCACGTACGGCACGACGGACGCTGAGTCCACTAATGAGACCTGAGTCCGCCACGACAAGTGAGCCGCTGGCGACGTCACCGCCGCCGATGCTGACGTCGCCGCCGCCACCGCCGCCGCTAGGTCCTGCCGGCGGCGGCAGCGGCCTGGGCTCTTCGGATGTATCGTCTTTACCGCCGCCGCCGCCGCCGACGGCGGCTGCGGCTGCCTCCGCGGGGTGCTGCTGCTGCTGCTGCACCAGTAGCTCAAATGCCACTTGTGCAGATTGGCGCTCGACTGCCAGATCTTTTAGCCAATAGTGAATGCCGCCCATTCCAGGGCCCCAGTCGCGCCGCCGCCGCCGGGGGCCCTGGCCGATAGCGGCGGCGGCCGTTGCGGTGGCGGCGGCCCTGGCGGCGATTGAGGCGGAGGATGAAGTAGTGCGTTTGGTGTCGCTGCTGACGTCGTCCTCGTCCGTGCTGCTGCTGCTGGCGGCGGCGCCGCCGCTACCACTAACACCGCCGCCACCGCCACTGCTGCCGCCAGAAAACCCAGCACCGCCGCCACCGCCACTGCTGCGGAATGACTGTGGGGAACTTCCCAGTAAACCACCACCAACGCCACCAGCGGCGGCTGTTGTAGGCACCGGTACGGCGGTCGTACCAGAAGGAAAGGAAGACGCAACGGATGCAATGACACCGGCAGACAAGGCCGCTGCTGTGTCATCTACCGCTGCCGCCGCTGCCGCCTCCACTGCCTTCAGCACCACAGCCGCTAGCGTTCGCGGTGGCGGTACGACTGGTACCTCCTCCTCTTCCGCCCCCGCCGCCGCCGCCGCCCCCGCCGCTGCTGCTGCTTCCTCCGGCCAGGATCTCCCCAACCCTTGTCCGGGGGGCTCCGGCACGCCCGGGTCACAATCCGCCTCCGCTGACGCCTCTGCCGCCGCCTCCTCCGTCACCGCCGGTATATCCTCGTCCACGGCCATGTGCGCAATATCCCCGGGCGGTTCAAACCGCTGCGCCGCGGCGGGAGCCCCCGTCGGGCCGCCGGGCAGATCTGCGGCGGCCTGGATGTCCGCCAACGTCCGTTGGGATTCCAGCTGTAGCTCGGTGGCGGAGGCCGCCGGGCTGCTGCTGCTGCTGCTGCTGCTGCCGCTAATGGTGTTCACTTCCCAATCCAAGTCGAATTGGTCCGTCAGAATGGTCTGTTTGATCTGCTCCATGTCCCGGTCGCTCAAGTAGTCACTGCTGGACCGGCCGCCGTCGGCAGTAGCAGCTGTCGCCACCGCCGCGGCGTCACACTTGTCGCTGCGGGCTGCTGTTCCTAGCGGATCGGAGGCGGCGGCAGCTGTCGAGCTAGGCCCTACCGCTCTCCTTCCACCGCCCTCCACCACTATGTCTCCCCCAGTCGACCTGTCCACCGCCTGCAGCCCACGCTGTGCCTGCGCCACGTCAGCAGCTCGGCTCAGGGCCCCTCTCTCCTCCTCCTCCTCCTCCTCCTGCTGCCCTTCTTCCTCCTGCCCTTCCTCCTGCTGTTGCTGGGGCTTCTCCAGCTGCCTCAAGATTCCGCCCATCACCTCCTCCACAGCCTCCCCGCCCTCCGCCTCGTCTGGTGGCACCGGCCCCCGGGCTAAGTGCTGCTGCTGCTGCTGCTGCTGCTGCTGCTGCTGCTCGGCCACCATGGTTGCGAGCTCCGCCGCCAAGCGCTCCGAAACCTCGTCTACCTCCATGCGCCGCTGCGCCGCCAGTAGCAGATCACTTTCCATAGAGACAGCGACGGATTGGGTGGAGAAGCTGCTGGCGGCGGCGGCGCCGTCGCTGTGAGCGCCGTCGCCGCCGCCGCCTTCTTCGACGATAGCGTCACCGAGCCCTTCTGTCTGTAGCCCGTTTGGCGGTTCAATCACGTTGCCTGCCACGGCATAAGCGGGATGGGAGGTGGCCGCCGGATGGGTAGTGGAAGTCTCGGATGGCTGCGACGCGATCGTCGCGGTGACGGCTGCGCTGTCGTCCGCGTGCTTCCTGGCGTCGGAATTCGGCCCAAGACTCGGATTCGCGGCCGGGGCAGTGCGGCGACCTCCCGGCCTCCGACCTCTCGTGCCGCTGGAGCGGCCGTCCCGCGGCGGCGACGTCGCGGATGGGTTCCCGGCGGAGGTGTCGACGGCGTGCAGACCGTCCGAGTTGGTAAAGGTGTAGGTGACGGGAGGCGACGTTGCGGGACGTACGTCTTCCGCCGCCGCCGCCGCTGCCGCCGGTACGACGTTCGCCGGCGCGGCACCTGCGCTTGGTGTGGTCCTTGGTGCGGTACGACCATCAGCCACCTCGGCAACGGCTCTCGTGACTTTGTCCACTGGCCTAGCCGCCTGGCGGCTGACAGCCTGGCCGCGTGTCCTGCAGGCTACAGCCTTGGGGGGGCTGGCGGGGGCGGCGGCGGACTCCTGTGGCTTGCCCGCTGCAGCCTCGGTGCCAGTACCGCTGCTTGCGCTATCGCCGCCGCCGTCGTTGTTCCCGCCGTCATCCTTTCGCACCTTCTTCCTCCCTTTACCGCTCTTCTTCTTGTTGCTGCTACTGCTGTTGCTGCTGCTGCTGCTGCCAACGGTGTCGCCACGCTTAGCAGCCGGTATGGGTGCTGCCAACGCCACGCGGCGGCGGCCAACCGTGGAATTCTTCAGCGCCAGCCGCGGCGGCAACGCATGTACGGCACCCGAGGACGCCAGCGACGGTGATGACGACGACGCGGAGACAAGCAACGTCCCCTCGCCGGCCCCGCCGCCGCTGCTCATGGCTGTACTACATGTCATCTTCACGCCACATCGCCATGGTGGCAATGCCCGGAGGGGTACGCATGCCGGCGACAGGACTCGGAGCCTAGGGAACTGGAAGCCAGGCGCCACACGGAAGTACGACAGCAATGCTCCACGGCCGTGCCGTCCCATCATGCCTAACTGCGGCGCGACGATCCCGGACAGGGCGCCGCCGCAACTAGCAGGACCGACGCCTCCGCCTCCGCCGTCGATACTGCTGGCCGAAGCAGCTGCTTGGGTGGGTCCGCCAGCCCTGCCGCCCCACGCAGCTGGGCCAGACCCGCCTCCCGTCTCCAACGACCCACGGGTCATGCCCTCGTCGTCATCAGGCCTGCCGCCGCCGCCACCACCGCCGTACTCTCCAAGCTGCTCCTGACAGGTCCCCACGTCCGCCCAGCCCAATCCATGCGGGAGGGGGACCTCCTCGTTCAGGGGTCCTGCCGTACCGCCGGCGGCGAAGAAGGAATAGCAGTACGGCTCCTTGTGGAGGCCGATGTCGCGCCTGTGCTGCCGCTGCACGTGATTCACGCTGTGTCGCAAATGGTGGTGCTCTGTGTGGCCCCTTGAATGCTTGACGTGTGACGTTGCCTTGGCCGCAAAGCCGGGTGCGACAGCATCGTCGCCGCCACCGTACGGACATACCCACGCGCCAGCTTCCGCCTCCGCCTCCGCAAGCTCCCCGTCGCGCGAGCGCCCAGCGATGAACAAATCCATGCCGTACTGCTCTATCTCCTCGGGCGATAGCCCAGAGGCCTCCGCCGCCGCCAGAGCCACCGCCACCGTGTCGGCTGCCATGTCGTACAGCTCGTCCTGCCGTACAGCTGGTGCACGGCTGCCGTGCGCCAGCGGTATGTCCACCAGGCAGGCCTCGTCCACGCTCACGACGTCATGGGCGGTGGTGCGTGAGGGCAGAAGAGAGCGATGCAGCTCGTGTAACGCCGGGGAGAGGAGATAACAGCGCCCAGTCGGAGTTGAACTGCAGACTTCCTGTTGGGGCAGAAGCGGGATACATGCATTGGAGATGGCGTGGGAACAATTTGCCATATCCACCAACGAGCAGCCGAGCAGCTCCAAGCGCGCCCACACGAGTATGTATACTTCTTTCCTTGCCACCAACCAAACGACCCGGGGTTCATCACAATACACTGCCTGGGAACGGAAGGACCAGTCGTCCCGTCCCGGTCACAGGAGATGATGGGGGAGAGGGGTGCCGCACAAATAGATGCAACGAAAGAACTCCAGTCCCGTTCCTTACGGGATACATAACATATAATACATTATATAATAATAATAACAATCTACGTATTACAGTATAATATATACTAACATATCATAACATACTTGTATTTACATATATACATATGTACATACATTTTATATATGTATGCGTTCGCGTCATGATTGAGGCTCAAATGAGGCGCTTAATATCCTTTGTCTTGCCTGCTGTAAAACGCCCCTCCCCTGAAACAATCACCCAATAAACTCCCCACGCACAACGCACAAGCAGCAAACGTCCTCCTCTCTTCTTCTCCCTTGCTTAAATTCTTACTCTACCGGGCCCTTCTTACTGGAGGCCTCAACCAACCATCACCCCTAGAGGACCTCCACCCCCCCACCCAGGCACCCACCGGCGGCTCGTCAGATGAGCCCGACACGGCGGCGGCCCGGGCGGCGGCGAAGCGGCGGTTGGGCGCTGCCGGGTGTGCCGCCGCCATCGACAATTCCCCCTGCGTGCCCTCGCCGGGATGACGACTGGTGTGCTGCTGTTGCTGCTGCTGCTGCTGCCGGTCCTGGTGATGGTGGTGGTGCTGCTGCTCATGGTGAAACTGAGGTTGCTGTTGCTGCTGCTGCTGCTGCTGATGCCATGCCTGATCGTCGTGATGATGATGGTGTTGATGGTGGTGTTCGTGGTTCTGTTGGTGCTCGTGCAGCTGCTGCTCCTCCTTACCCTCTGGGTGGTGATACAGGTTGTGGTTATGATGATGGTGCTGCTGCTGCTGGGAATGAAGTAGTTCAATGTTGTTGCTGTTGCTAAGTTGCTGGAGCTGCTGGTGCTGGAGCTGGGGCTGGTGCTGGTCATTACGGTGGATATCCGCGAAGCGCTGCTGCGGGTGGTGCTGGGGGTGGTGGTGGTGGTGGTGGTCTTGGTCCCGGTTCTGGCTCCGGTGCTTCTCACGTTGCTGGTCGTAGCTCTCAGCGTGTTGGCGATCTGGGTCATCTGGGTGACCGTTTGGGTGCCGATGCTGCAGATATTGCTGGTTATCCTGCGACTTAGCCACGTCACCCTGACGTGGGCTCCACGTCTGCGGCTGCGGCTGCGGCGGTAGGCCCCGGGCCCCACCGGGCGCCGTGGCCGCCGCAACCGCTTGGGGGCCGCCCGGTGCGGGAACTGGCCCCGGGGCCAGGCCCAGGCCCAGGCCCAGGCGGTGTGAGGAGGAAGAAGCCCTAAAGGGCTGCGCGGCACTGGTGCTGCTTGAGCCACGGCTGTCTGGCGCTGCAAAACGTGTTGTGGCGGTGGCCCGCATGGTGATATGATGATGGTGGTAGTGCGTACGTAATCTGTATGATGTGTATGTGCTGATGGGACTGTTGGGAGAGGTGTCCGCTGCAAATGCGGTGAAACGCGGAGGAACTAGCTACGCGCTGATCGATGCCGATAGACGGGGATGGCTGTGGCCCTCGAGCGTCTGTTGTCCCAAGCTTTGGTCGCTCCGTGTGATTGCCCTTGCTGCCGTCGTTGAAAGAGGAGGAAGTTGTTGCTGGTCCCTGAATAAGGCCACGTGGTAGGTCGTGCTGGAAAAATATGAAAAAAGGGTAAAAGAAAAATCGGGGGAAGCGGCTAGTCGCCGAAAGAACGTGTCGTGAAGGAATGCTAGCTTTTTCTCCAAAAAGGCCGCTTCATCGAACATGGGTCTTCACCTGTGAGCGTCAGATTTTCTTACCAAGTTGTGACTTGTAATTCGGCGCTGCCGGCGGACTGCCTTCTATCGTTTATAATCCTTGCTTCCGTTAAGTGGCGGAGATATTAGGGCCCGGAACAGGCCACCGCTGTCGCAACCTTGCGCCGAAACGACACCGGGAGTTGGCTGTTTCGGAAGCGCCGGTGCCGCTGCTGCTGCTGCTGCTGCTGCTGCTGAAGCGGATAGCTCGACATGAACGTGAGGATATGTGCAGCTGACGTAAAAATCCCTGTAGAAGTGTTCAAAGCTCCGGAGAAATTCGACGACATGGCTCCAGTCGCGTAGCTCTGCAACGTAGGTTTACGTTAAGCATGTCCTGTACGGCGCTGACGCAAAGCGCAGGAAAAAGACTTCGTCCCGACAATCCAATTGTTTGCGTCCAATTCCTTTCCAGCTGCAAACAAAAAATGCTTCATACAGCATACTCGGACAGCATACTAGTTGAGATTTTCGGACTCCTGAGTGAAAACTGCTTGCTCTAAAAAACAGATGCTCGCCGCAATCCTAAAGTGCGGAACTGCGACATAAAGCTTGGAACTATCTTATTTTTTTCTGGAAAGAAAATTTGGGGAGATTTCTTTAGTTTAATTTGGGCAGCTTAGGGGATAAAAATGTTCAAGTCCAAAAGCGCCAACCTCTTGCATGATTTGAAGCCCAAGAACTACCCCACGGATGCCTCTCAATACGAACTTCTCGAGGAGTGCGGAGCCGGGGTGAGAATAATAAGGATTGCCTGATACGGCCGCCAACAGCGACGGCACGCTGAGACCGGCATGTGGCAACGCGTGCGAGCGCTCCTTACCGACCCGTGGGTCACCTTATTTCCTGGGGGCCTTGCAGCACAGCCTAATAATGAAAAGTCCATGCCATCCCTGCGATATTGATAATTCCAACATGACTTGGTTTTGAATTGTCGGACGGGTCATGCTTGGGCGATTTTCCATGCATATTAGGCAAGGGTGCCTTTTACCGCGTTGCGCCTTGGACGTAGTGGAAGCTACATAATTGATACGGAGTACCTCGCCTTGGCTTAGCCAAAGTTGTACCTATGTTCTAATGCGCTTAGACTCACTCGCTTTTCCCTATCCTTAAAATATGTGTTTCATATGAAAACATGTATTTACCGCACAGCAAACAAAACAGAATCTAGCCGCTTACTGTCAAAGGCTGTCAAAGCCATCACCTGTTTTCTTCCCCGTTCAACCTTCACCATCGGTTTTCCGTTGGTCGTCTTGCCTCGAACGTTCCAAACCACTGCCAACGCCGGCTTAACTGCCTGAGCCTAGCGGGGGCCCTCATCCATCCCCGCTTGACGGGCAGTTGACAGTTGACAGTTAGCGGCTGCTTTATCTGAGTGTCACATTCTGAGGTCTCGTTTCCGTTACCTACTAACGCCCCAGCACGCGCCGTCCCGGGGGCCTTCCCCCCCTCACCCCCCCCCCCAGGTCACCTCCACGGTCCACCGCGCCCGTTGCCTCCCCCTCGGAGCGGTGGTGGCCATCAAGCGATGCAACCTGGACCTCTCGGATGCCGACCTGCAGGTAGAGGTAGCGGGGAGGGCAGGAGAGAGGGATAAGGAATGGATTTCCATTGCAAGCCGGCGGAGCTGAGGAAGAGTCCGTAGTGCGGGGAGGGGCCTGGGCTGGGCTGGGCTGGCCCGGGCTGAGCGGAGTGGCGCGGAATGCGGGAAGAGGGCGGGAGGAGGGCGGGCGGAGGGCGGGAGGAGGGCAAGAAGGAAAAATGTGCGAATGGGGGGGACGAGTGGGCTGGAGGGCGGACGGCATCTCCAACGAGCGAGCGGTTCTCCTTCAACCAAAAAACATCCTTCAGTTTCCCACCCCACACACACCAGCAATGTCCGAAGGTGCTTATTTGGTTTTTAACGCGCGTCGGTGTATTTACGTGTCTGTGTGCGTGTGTGTGCATATGTATGTATGTATGTGTATATACGTGTAGGTGGTAATTGAGGAGGTCGCCATCATGAGGCGCTACCAGCACCCCGCAGTGCTGCCGCTGCTATGCTCCTTCGTGGCGGACAGCGAGCTGTGGCTCGTTATGCCGTACATGGAGGTACGTTGCACGGAATGTACGACACGCCGATTCCAACATACAGAAGAATTATAGCCTTTTACCTGCACGCTGATGGCGGAAAGGCCGCCATCATACACAGCAGGAGGACAACCCCGGCCTTGAGCGATATCGACCCGCCTCGATACTGCTGCGCCGCCCCACCCGTTTATAATTGCCCCCTGCCCACCCGCATCGCTAATCCCAACCTCTGTCCCCGTTTCGCGCGGCTCTGCTTGCCTCTGTCTCTTGCCTTGGTTCCGGGGGGTGTATGCAAGGGCGGCTCCGTGGCTCACGTGATGCGCTACGCCCACAATGACGGCCTGGAGGAGCCCGTCATCGCCACCATCGCCAAGGAGGTGCTGAGGGCGCTGGATTACCTCCACAAACAGGTGCGAGAGGTCAGCGGTATACGACGCTATAACATGTAGAAATACGAGTAGCGAGTATGGACTAAACGTTTGACAGCGACAGCAATAAGAACACGCTCCCCCTCCCCCTCCCCCTCAGCACTTTTTCCCTGGCAGTAGCTTCACTCGCTTGGGGTTCGTCTTGCCCCCTCCCCCTCCCCCTCCCCCTCCTAGGGCGCAATCCACCGGGACGTCAAGGCGGGCAACATCTTGCTGGGGGGTGACGGCACCGTGCGGTTGGGGGACTTCGGGGTCAGCGCCACCATGGAGCGCTCCGGCAGCTGGGGGCACGACCTGATGAGGAGGAGGACGCTGGTCGGGACGCCCTGCTGGATGGCGCCGGAAGTCATGGAGGTGCGAGGTGGAGGTGCGAGGTGGAGGTGCGCTCAGGCCCGGCTGGCCTCACTAGGGCGGGCGGGGCGGGGGGGGGCGGGGCGGGGCGGGGCGCTGCCGACGCTGGCTGTAGATTTTGCCCCTTTGTCACCTATAATGTACCACGCATGTACCTAAAGTTCGGTCCGTCCGTATGTATGCATGTATGTATGTCATATATGCCCATGTCCTATGACATCGCGCGCCCGTTTCAGTGTTGTCTCGTCCTGACTGACTGACTTACGGATGGACGGATTGCCGGGGCCTCTACCCGGCCGGCGGATCGCAGGAGAGCGCCTACAACGACCGGGCGGACATCTGGTCATTCGGCATCACGTTGCTGGAGATGGCCCATGGGTCGGCGCCCTTCGCAAAGCTGCCACCCCTCAAGGTACACGCAGCAGCCGGCTGCATGTACGTACGCATGTACGTATGTACGTACAACGTACAGCACCAGCCTATCCTAACGTTCGCGACATCTGCCAAATGTATGCGTGCACTGTGTGTGTATGGTGGGGGGGCCCCCCGGCGGGGGCCACGCACGGGGCGTGCACCGGCCAGGGGAAGAACTTTCCCTCCTCAAAAGGGCTCCAGGAACCCGCACTCCCGCTCTCTTTAGCAAGCAGCCATCTTGGCCCCCGGCTGGGCCCCCTTCCCTACCCAAGCCAATCCAAGCAACACACGCGTACAACCCTGTACGACGGCGCGGGGTAACCGTGTGACTTCGGCGGTCCGTTGTTGAACTGCAGGTGTTGATGTTGACGCTGCAGAACCCGCCTCCCCAGTTGGAGGACCGCGTGGGGCAGAGGACCTTCTCCAGGTGGGCGAGAGGAGAGGAGATGAGTGGGGGAGGACAGGAGGTGGCATGGAGGCGGATCCAGGTGCATGTGTATTTCCCCTCCACCGACAACGCGATAACTCATTTCAGCCACATCGCGGATAATAATGACTTCTTTGTATCGTTTCCTGTTGTTCTTGTTGTTGCTGTTATTGTTTTCCAAATTTGTCCCTTCCGCTCCTCTTCCCCCGGCCCCCCCTTGTCCGCCCTCCTTTCCCCCTTTTGGCAGCCCTAACCTCCCCTAACACCCTCCTTCCTAACTCCTTCCCTCGCTCCTACCCCCCCGCCCCAGGTCCATGCGCGAGGTGGTGGCGATGTGCCTCCAGAAGGACCCCATGAGGCGCCCCTCAGCCAAGCAGCTGCTGGAGCACAGGCTGTTCCGGACCCAGGCCCGTGATAAGGCATATATCGTCAAACACCTCCTAGCAGGTGCTAGGGTGCTAGGTGCTAGGGTGCTAGGGGTAGGGGTAGGGCTGGCTGACGGGTCTTTCATCCCGACTGATATAATAGTGGGTAGATGGGTAGGGGGTGGCTGGGTGGGTAGAAGTAGCCGGGTAGCAGGCTTTTCGTAGCCCAGGGCTCAGCAAAGAGCTTCCGACAGCCCTACCCCTATGTCGAGATGTGCCACTGCTACTGCTACTGCTACTGCTACTGCTGCAGCTGCAGCTGTTCTGTTTGTCCACGGGGGTGGTGTATGCGCCCATGGGGGCCCAACCGAGGAACCCCATGAACTGGAAGTTGGACGATTTGCGTCTGCACTCTTGCATGTGCATTATTACCATGCAATCCGCTCTTTTGCATCTGGCAGCAATCATGGCCGTCGCGCTGTCGTCACTATTGGCGACTGCGTGCATGCAGACATACGTACAGACGAGATAAACAGTCAAGATCAGTGCAGCAAGATCACGTGTATTGCTTTGGGCCTCGCCGAAACGCCTGATACCCTCCGGCGCAGGACTGCCACCCCTCACGGAGCGTGTACGGCAGCTGAGGGCGGGGTACGGCGGGCGAGTACCCACGCAACAGGCACACAACCGGGAGCTGCGCAGCAGAGTCAGGTGGGGAGGGTCGGGGGGCCAGGGGGAGTCGGCTTGCCAGCTGTCTGCGGATAGATGCGTGGGCGAATGGGTGGGTGGGTAGATGGGTGGGTGGGATAACGGTGAGAGGTTGGAGTAAAGAGGTTGTCGTTCTGGTGGAAGTGATGACGTGAACAGTTAAGACACTGGCTAGAGAGGACCTTTTGCTGCCGCGCGCCTTCTCCTCTGCACCGCAGCTATATGAGCGGGGTGCTCAATTGGGATTTCGACCTCCCATTGTCGGGGACCGACAGCGGCGGGGGCGGCGCCGGTGGTAGCAGTACCGGCAGCATGCACGGCGGCAACAGAGTAAGCAGCAGTAGCAACGGGCCGAATTACGGCTCCTGTACTGCACACGATGGCGGCAGTAGCGTCGGCGGCAGCAACGGCGGTGGCGGCGGGGACGCGGCAGTGCATCCGCATTTAGCCAGCGTACCGCCTACGCCAGCACCGCCGCCGTACAACGGCGGGACAGCAAGTCCCGTGGCAGCCACCGCCGCCGCGGGCTCTCCGGCAGAGCCCGCCCGGCCGCCGTCACCGCCGCCAGCGGCTCCCTTGCCGTCGTCGCCGCCAGGTGCAACGCTCACGGAGCTGCACCTGCCGCATACTTCGCAGGTCTCTGGCGCTCTGGCCAAATCCGCCTTCGCAGACGCCGCGAGGAACGCAACCACCGCCGCCGGCCCCAGCGGCGGCGTCGCTGCTTCGGAGCTGCCGTCCCGGCGGCCTTCTTTACGAGGTAGCGTGTCCCTCCCTGACTTAAAGCAGCAGAATCACGGGCCGCAGGCGAGTGTCCCGGCAGCGGTGGCGGCGCCACTGCCGCCGCTGCGGGAGCAGGAGGTCCAGGCGCAGCCACAGCAGCATCAGCAGCAGCAACAGCCGTACGGTCCACCGTCGGAGGCGGCGACGATCTCTGCAGGGGTGCTATCAGGCCGCCCGGCGGCGGCCGGCGGCGGTGGACGAGCCAGCGGGCTGAGGGTCAGCTTCGCGCCTGGCGTGCCCGACGGCAGCAGCGGCGGGGCCAGCCCCAGCGGCGGCGGCGTCATGCTACGAAAGGGTCGCTTTCAAGTAGGGATTAGGGTTGTTAGAAGCCGCGATGGGGTGTAAGACGAACCACTGACGATTGAAGCAGATACCAGAGACATACGATGGGGGGTTTACGCCGCTATGGCTGTGGGATACAATTTCGGAAGGTTTCCATATTGCTAGCTAAGCTTCTTGGAGTTTTTCAGCGAGCACACCGTAATGCCCATGGATTCCTTGCATGCGCGTGCATCGTTGACTTCAGGTGTTTCGTAGTACGTACTTCCCTGATACGTTCCTGTCATCTGCCCTATCACACCGATTTTGTCCGTTTTTGAGAATAGTACGGTTGTTTTCGTCGTACAGGTGTACGAAACAACCCAGCCTGTTCCCAGGCCGGCCACGGCGCCGCTGCCGTCAGCTATCAAGAAGCCGACGGTGCCGCCGCCGCGTCCCCCGCCTTCCGGTGGTGCGGTCGCCGCCTCCAGGGTGGACATGCCGCCGTCGTCACCGCCGTCGGGTCTACAGCTGGCGATCGTCGCCGCCGTCAGCACCACCGCAGCGCCGACGAAGGACAAGGTGACGCAGGCGGCACCAACCCCCCCGGCCTTGGCACTCGCCGGCCCTCAGCTGCCGGCAGCGTCGCCGGCGGCGCGCTTCAATCCTCTGTACGGCGCCTGGTGCGACATGGTGCTGCGCAGCTTGCTGTCTGCAGTACGCGACCACGATGCGTCGCTGCAGCTAGCGTTGGTGCTGACGGCGGCGGCGCCGCCACAATACGTCCCGAAGCTGCAAATGGCGGCGCTGTCAACGTGGTCAACGGAAGAGCCGCCGCCGCAATCATCCCCGCCGCAGCCGCCGTTGTCGTCGCACCAAGGCGGGACCCAACAGAAATTGCCGCCACCGCGGCCCCCGTCGCCGTCATCGCTTTTAGCCTCGCCACCTCTGGCCCATCCAACGCCTCGCCGGGCTACAGCTCCAGTGGAGCCGAGCATCCTAATGGCTGATGACAGGACCCCCTCATCGCCACCTTCGCCGTCAGGTTCACGGCTGTTAACCCCACGGCTATCATCATCGGAGCTGGCGGGACATCGAGTTGCCAGCAGCCATGATGGCAGCGCGGATTCCCACAGCGTTCCGCTGCAGCTACAGCAGGGACAGCTCCCGTCGCGGCCGCCATCGTCGTCGCAAACTCCCGACCTGAGCTGGCGATTGCCACATCAACAACCGCGACGACTGCTAGTCCCGTCACTTTACCCGCCGGTGGGACTGTACGGCGATGACCTGAGCGAATCTGGCAGTGATTCAGATGGCAATGGGAGTAACTTCAGCGGCGGCGGCGGCGGCGGCGGGAGCGTCAGGAGCCACCGCAGCGTCGGCGGTACGAGCACCGCCAGCGCCCGCAGCAGCGTCTTCAACGGCCGCGGCGGCGGCGCCAAGCTTGTGGTCGTAGAGGTAGATGAAAGCCATCCAGATTATGTTGGCCTGGCGGAACTCTACGGCGACAGCCATAGCTTGGCTTGGGCGCCGTCGTCGAGCCTGCTGCAGCCGCTGCTAGAGGCCATGCCGCGGGAGGTGGAACGCGGCGCACGGGAAGTGCCGCTGCCCGCGGCCACGGCGATAACAACGGCAGGTTCACCGCCGTCGTCACGATCGCCCCCTGCTGGCGCCGCCGCCTCTGCTGTTACTACAGTTGCTCCAGCCGATGCGCAGACTGTGGAACGGCAGGACCACTCGTATGTAAACTCCCAACGCGATGCAAGTGCACAAGTGGACCGACAACAGCAACGGCAGCAGCGACAGGGTCAGACATGTACAGGTGCTACAGCCTCTGAGGCAGCTGATAAGGCTGTCGGCAGGGCGGGCGGAGGACGCGGAGATGCGACGATGGCAGCGGCACTTCCGACGGGGGTGACGACCCTGCGGGACGCCTTGCCTTCGCTGCTAAAGCTTGGGCCTCCTACTCCGCCGCACAGGCCGCTGAGCCGGGCACTTGTGGCGTCGCGCGCTACCGCTGTGGATTCCTGTGAAGGTGGAGTTGGAGAGCGCACGGAGGACGGGGGGATGAGTAGCGGCAGAAGTGGCGGCGGAGGCGACGGTACCGGTCCTGCGTTTGCCAACGGCAGCAGCAGCGGCAGCAGCAAGGATGCGCAAGCCGCGACTGCTGCGGTTGAGGCTCGGAAACCACCGGTGCCGTACTCTGAATCAACAACAAAGCCCGCCGTGCCAACGGTATCAACCCCCGGGACTGTCACTCCGTCCGTGCTTTTCGCTGCTGCTGCCCGGGGTCAAGTTTTGCGGCCTGAGGCGGCGGCGTCACCATCGCCGCCGCCAAGGCCGCGTTTCTTCTCAGCGGTGGCCGCCAGTGCCGGACCCGTGGCTCCCGACGTCACCAGCCTGTCAGGCGATACAACTCCCGCGCTTACCGCAACGGAATCTGGACCTGGACTAGCGGCTCAGGATCGACCTACGACTCGTGTGTCCGAACCTTCTGGTGAAGGCGCCGCCACGCCTTCGAAGGCAGTGCAGCCGGCGACAACAAGCCCGTTGCCGGCGCTGACGTTGGCAACTCCGCCCGCCAGGACCGCTAGGGCCGCCGCAGCTGCGGGGCGTGGTGTTGCGAAGGGAAGATTCATCGTCTTAGACGAACGGACGTAGCATTATAATAGACGAGAACCGGCTCGCCGCCGGCTGGCGAGGGAATAGAGCTGATGGGCCTGCTTGGCAGTCCACATGGCGGCGCGTGAACATTTTAGGAGGAGAGTGCTGCTGTTATCGTGTGTGTTTTTGGGGGAAGGAAAGACGAGCAGGTGACCGGGGAGGAATGCGGGCTGGGCCTTGTCCGCCGTAGGGCTCTCCTGAAGAGGTGAGGGGGAATTGTGGCGGGGTCCAAGGGACTGAAGAGATGGTAAACCCCTAAAATATCGACTGGGCAAGGATGGAAATGAAGAGTTGCATTCGGCACCCTATTGCCATTGAGGGTACCGCAGTGCGACGGTCGTTTGAGATGGGGGGCGGAGTATAGCGGGAGGTAAGGCCCTCACAATCTGAGGTTGACAATTAGTAGGAGGTGCAGACATGCAGATGGGCATCACCATGTTGGGGGGCATTTATGATATGTGCGCTGAAACGATAGATCTTGTTGGTTGGGGATGGAATTCTGATGTGGCGCAAACCGTTGCACACGGAGGGTTGGCACAAAAAATGATGACGAAGTGGCGTTGGGAGAAGGGATTTTGCAGGGATTATGAGGAGACGGAGTGCATGGTGGAGGTGTACGCGGCGTGCGGTGCATGGTCTTGTTGGGGGATGGTTGAGCTTGTTCCTTATTGCGATGAGCGGTTGGGCTGTTGTTTTGCCCTGTTCCCGCTTCCTTTCCCCTGCTGCAGGGGGATCAGCAAGCATTTTTGCGCGTCGCGTCGTCGTCGATTGCAGGAGACCCGGATGGCCGAGGATTTAATCTCGATGCGATGATC